GAAAACGCAAATGATGATCGTCTCTAGGCACCATGATGGTAATGCTGGTGCAGTAGTAAGGATGAATGGGACGATGTTGGCACCTGGAGAAGAAGTTGATATCCTTGGGGTGAAATTTGACTCCAAACTAACCATGAAGAACCATGTTGTAACTCTTGCAAACAAGGCAGCCAGGAAGCTTACAGCACTTCGCCGTATCTCGCATCTGCTTGACAGTAGGGGTTGCAAGATCCTGTACGAGGCACAAGTACGCTCACACCTTGAGTATGCTCCACTTTCTTGGTTTGCCTGCCCCCCTCTCATCTGCGACTGCTTGACAGAGTAGAGAACAGAGCAAGACGTCTCATCTCTCGCCTGGACCCATCCTGGATAGATCTGTCATTTCAGCAGAGCCTTCAACATAGGAGGGATGTGGTGGCCTTACTGTTATGTACAAGGCCAATATTGTCAAAATACCACACTTGGATCCACTTCGAGGACAGCGTGAAACAAGCTTTTATGCCACAAGACGGGCAGAAAGCAGCAACTTCACTCTGGCTGTACCCTTCTCCAGAACATCACTCCATCTGAGATCATACATACCCAGGATGACTCGAGTATGGAACACATTCGTACAGCATAATGATGTCAACGAGATAACGTCAGTTGATCAAATGAAAATGCTGGCCCACAGATGGCTCCAACTTCATCCTGTTCCCTACTTGTATGTCTCATAACAATAAAAATGCTTTCAAATGAGCTGATGTAGGTAACAGCTCTTAGCTTGCCAATAAAGTTAGGAATCCTTAACCTGTAAATAGCTGTCAATAAAGCTAGGGATCCTTAACCTTGTCAAACCCTGTGTAAAAAAAAAAAAAAAAAAAAAAAAAAAAAAAAAATGAGAGAGGTGAGAGAGGTGAGAGAGGTGAGAGAAGTGAGAGAGGTGAGAGATGTGAGAGAGGTGAGAGAAGTGAGAGAAGTGAGAGAGGTGAGAGAGCTGAGAGAGATGAGAGAAGTGAGAGAGGTGAGAGAGGTGAGAGAGGTGAGAGAAGTGAGAGATGTGAGAGAGGCGAGAGAGGTGAGAGAGGTGAGAGAAGTGAGAGAAGTGAGAGAGGTGAGAGAGGTGAGAGAGGTGAGAGAAGTGAGAGAAGTGAGAGAAGTGAGAGATGTGAGAGAGGTGAGAGAGGTGAGAGAGGTGAGAGAAGTGAGAGAAGTGAGAGAAGTGAGGGAGGTGACAGAGGTGAGAGAGGAGGAAAAAGCTGACTTGAAACTCCACGTTGACCAGCCACAGGGAAGCTCCTCACTATATTACCTCCTATAATTAGTGTTGTGGTGTTGGTGGTGACGTTAACACTTCGCGCAGAGTGAAGCTGTGAGGTGCTGAGAGATGCACTGGCTTCATACCAGAGTGAAGCTGTGAGGTGCTGAGAGACCAAGGTTTCATACCAGAGTGAAGCTGTGAGGTGCTGAGAGATACACTGGCTTCATAAGAGTGAAGCTGTGAGGTGCTGAGAGATGCACTGGCTTCATACCAGAGTGAATCTGTGAGGTGCTGAGAGACCAAGGTTTCATACCAGAGTGAAGCTGTGAGGTGCTGAGAGATAAACTGGCTTCATACCAGAGTGAAGCTGTGAGATGGAAATATAAGCACATATGCAGTATAATGTGATCCTTTATTGACTACGTTTCGCCCACACAGTGGGCTTTTTCAAGTCACAAACAGTCCCAAACAGCTGTGAGATTCTGAGAGATACGCTGGCTTCATACCAGAGTGAAGCTGTGAGATTCTGAGAGATACACTGGCTCCATACCTTATGTAATTTAGCCCTTGATTGTGTCAGAACATGCTGGTGAATGTATGTCAGTGCTACTGATCTGTGTCTGAGCCCGAGATTTCATGTTTGTGTCGTGAGAAAGCAAAACTTAAGCATGTGATTTTTGATAACTGTTCTTTGTCAGATGCACAAAGTAAAAAAAATGTTTTTTTAAATTTTGAGTAAATCAGGCAAGATAAAAAAATAACTTTATGCGGTAGATTTTCACATCCAGCAAAAACAACCAGCATCCCACCAAAACAAAAACCAGCAACACCCAGGAACAACAACCAGCTCCCACCAGTAAAAACAACCAGCACCCACCACAACAACAACCAGCATTCCACACCAAAAAACCCAAAAATCCCCCAGTGCAAAACCAGCATCACACCAGAAAAACAACCATCACATCACCACAACAACCAGCATCACATCAACATCACATACCACCACCAGGCACCGTGGTAGTGTGGCAGCAAGTCTCCCTCATCCCACTACACCCCGGGAGCCTAGGAGCTCCACCACCCCTGGTCAGAGCCCTTTTTCATCAATGGAGAAAGATTCAGGTGAAGAAACCCGAGATCACCTACAACCTATTTCAGTCTGAATCTCTAAGAGCTAAAATTAAGAACAAGGCATTTACTGGAGGGTCTTTTCAAAGTTTAAAAAGTTTTCTTTTCAATTTGCAATATTAATACGCAACTTCTGCCTGGAGGAAGAAGCCAGGTCTGCTCTCAGAAGGATGGATGGGATGGGCATTCGGATTTTAAATTTTAACGTGAGTCAACCATTTTGGCAAGACATTGATTTTAAAGGGTCCTTATCTTAAAAATTATAGACCAATAACCTAACCTCCAAAGTGGGAAAATTTGGGAATCAAAAAATTGCCGAAGAAATTTGTAGCCACTTAAAAGCATAAATTAATCAAAGAATCCAGACGGTCTTACAAAAAGGGCGCCTTATGGTCTTACAGAAGGGGCCGTCCTTTTGGTCTTACAGAAGGGCGTCCTTAGGTTTTAAAAAAAGGGGCGTCCTTAGGGTTTTACAGAGGGCGTCCTTGCCTTACGAATTTATTATTTTTTTCACAAGGTATTTTAGGAATAGATCATGGTAATAAATATGAACTGCTTGAAAAGGGCTTTAGTAAAAGGGTTTTTATAGAGTCCCCTACAGAAGTATTGAGAAAAATATGCACACGAATAGGGGGAAAATTTTTTTTTGGATAGAAGGGGTTGACAGGCAGCAAATGGAAGAAAACGAGTGGGGGGGACGCACGGGGGTGTTCCCAGGGGTCAGTGTTTTGGCCCTTTTTTACTTTTCAATTATATAAAAGGCAATGAGGGAATAAAAGGACATAAGCGTTTTACGAAACACAAAAAAGGGAGACGATTCATTCTAACGAGACATTTGAGCATTTCCAGGAAAATTGAACAGGCTGATGCAGTGTCGGGGAAATAGCAGATGCAATTTAATAAAACAGATCAAGTTCAAAAATTTTAAAGGAAAATAACCAGCCACTAAAACTAAAAAAAATTTAGATTTTTAATATTATGATTGCAAAAGAATTTGGAAGTTCTGGTTGCGTAAACTAAAACCAAAACAATATGCAAAAGTGTTCGCAAAAAAGCGAACAGAATCCTTTTCTTCAATCAAGACATAAATAATAGGAACCTAGTTTTCTTCAACTTAAAATCCCTTTTTAGGCCCATTTAATTTGCTGCACAGTTCTGGCCACCGTATTACATGATGGATATAAAAGGGGCTGGAAAACGACAAAGGAGAAAAACAAAACAATTCCCTTATCAGAAATTTTCCTTTTGGGTAGCTGGACCCTGAATCTGCTCTCCTAAAAGGAAAGAATTAGGGGGGAAAAATTACTGAGGTGTATAAATGGAAAAAAGAATAAATAAAGGAACGTAAATACGTACTAAAAATACTACCCAAACAGGCTCGCGCAATTGGGTTTCCCCCGCATGGCCGTGGCTGCTGGGGTTTCTTCATTCTTATGTTCTTAATTAATTCAGTGGCTCACTAAAACCCGGTGGGTCATCATCGCAAGAGGTGGCGAAGACTTATCCCCCGCGAAACTGCGCCTTCTGGTTTTTCTCACTAGCTTATTTTTTTATTGCATCGAAACTGCTTTAGTGACTTTTGTTGACATATTTTAGTCTATTTCTTTTGATCATTTAAACAAAGTAATCCAAGTTTTAAAAAAACCTGCCTCAGGGGGCCGTAGGGCCCGCTGCAGGTTCTTCCATTCCATGTTCTTATAAAACATATTTTTTTGACTTTTAAAGTTTGCCCTATAAACAGAACATTTTTTGTACAAAGTTTTATGAAGCTATAAAAAAAATAAAAAAGGGTTTAAAATAACAATTATACCCCGAGGAAAAAAAAGTTCCCAAAACAGTTTATTGAGATAAAATTTGCTTTCGTTCCTGTGTTTGATATCCCTTTTCTAAAAAACCAAGGTTTAACTTCAATTTTTGGATAATTCTGAAATCAAAATTTAAAATAGAAGTGTAAAGTATTTCAAAGAATAGAACATCAACCTTTGGCCCTCAACTGACTGTTTCAAACAAAATTTCAGTTGGATTTCCAGATTTGAAAACAGTGTCTGGGGTTTTCGAGGGAAAGCTCCCTACACCGGTCCCTGGCAGCCCTGAGATCATGCAAGGGCATTGCATTATCACCCGCAGCTTTCTTTTACTGATCCATCTTGAGGGCGTTCCCCCATTTCCCCACAAGGGGAGTTGGCCTTTCCCTTTTCTGTGTTCCCTTTCCCTTCCCCCCTCATTTATACCCTTTTCCCCGTGTGTTAATTTCGCTTTTCCCACAACATTTCAATTTAATTTTCTCTCCCATAAGTCAAACACTCATTCACTTCTGTATTTAGTTTTCCCCTTTAAGGAAATAAGTCACAGAAACCTGGTGGAACAAAACCACCTTTTAAGAGAATAAATCACAGTACCGTGGGTGGAACAATCCACCTTTAAGGAAAAATAAATCACAGTACCCTGGGTGGAACAATCCACCTTTAAAGGGAAGAATAAATCACAGTACCGTGGCTGGAACAATCCACCTTTAAGGAAGAATAAATCACAGTACCGTGGCTGGAACAATCCACCTTTAAGGAAGAATAAATCACAGTACCGTGGCTGGAACAATTCACAAATAACCAAGCTTTTAGGAAGAAAACTTTCGATG